GGGGGGGGGGGGGGGGGGGGGAATGTTTAGGTTCTCAATCATTTGAAAATATCGGCGGTTTTCGCCGTTGCGTCGAAGTGATTTAAGAATGCGATTTCGGAGGTATGAAGGTTGCTGTCGTATTTTAAACTGTTCTCTACCTGAACCCTGCCTGACCCTCTCCGTAACAAATGAGACTTTAATGGCGGTAATCCATTACGCCTTGCCAGTTCTCGATGCGGTAATTTTGCACGGGTGAGGGAAGTAACCACAGCACAACACCGGGGGAGACCCAAGGAATTGCGCCCGAGGAGTCGTGCGAGCCTGAGGTATCGTGCTCACGAGGTATCGCGCCCGAGGGTGCCGGAGGTATCGTACCGGAGGTATCGTACCGGAGGCATCGTACCGGAGGTATCGTACCGGAGGTATCGTACCGGAGGTGTCGTGCCGAGGTATTGTGCCCGCGAGAAATCGTGCCTGAGGTATCGTGCCAGCGATGGATGGATCTCGTCACGCATTCCGTCCCGCCATGAGGAATATCGCATTCACGGATCTACATTCTCGCTTCTTCTTGGACTTTGCAGGGCGGAGGACATCGCCAAGTCCCTGGAATACCTGGACAACGTTCTCCACGAGTTCGACAGCGACACCGCGACGGTCGACGGCGATGCCGTGTCAACGCGCCAGGTCGGGCTGGAACTTGACGGCCTGAAGAGGCTCGAGGAGGTCGAGCAGCAGATCCAGCTGAGCAGGTCGCAGGGCAGGCCGCACCAGCCCCCGGGAAAGTTTTCGCCTGACGACCCGCCGACCTGGTCCGCGTCGGACCAGCCCCCGGGAAAGTTTTCTCCCGAAGATCCGCCGAGCAAATCGTCAGAGAAGCCGCCGAATAAATCGCCAGAGAAGCCGCCGAGTAAATCGCCAGAGAAGCCGCCGAGCAAGTCTTCCTGCAAGTCCACACCCGCTCCACTCCCACCGCCACCGCCCGAGCAGGCGCAGGAGGCCATATCCTCTGTCCTCAACGGGTAAATGACAACATTTTTGAATTTACAGAAATTTTCGCTATGCAACAAAAACTTTTATTCAAAACGCATAGATCTAAATGATTTAAATGTTTAATGCTTAATTTAATGCGATAAGAAAGGGGCATTTCTTATATATATTATAATATGTGTATATAACGGCATATATTACATTATATATATTATATATTTTGTACGAAGACTCTGACGAATGCTTTTGGTTTCCAGGAGGCCAGCACCGGCAGAGGCAAGGACCGGACTTCCTCAGCCCTTCCAGGTACGATGCTTTCCCCCCCCCCCCCCCCCCCCCCCCCCCCCCCCCCCCCCCCCCCCCCCC